TAAAGTGCCTGGGCAGGGGAGTGAGGGACAAGCAGGGAGCAGTAGTAAACAGAGTTCTAGGCGTGTTCGGGTAGCTTTATTCAACGTCCTTTTCTAACGGTATGCTAAGTATTCCAAAATGCTCTTTCTCTCCTTCCTTTCTTCCCAACATCCCTACTTGCTTCTTCTACCCCTGAATTTTCCCCTTTCATCTCCCAGAAAGTCCAAAATGAAGACATGGTCAAGCTCGATCAAGAGAAAAGCTGTCCTCCCGTCCTGGTTGAGGGTGTGGCTGGGTCTTCTGCAGCTGCTGTTTTTGCCAGAAGGAGGTCCTGCTCGTTTGCTTCTCAGTTCTTGCTTTGCTTCTCAGCTCACAGGAGTTTAGGTCCTTACCTTGTGGGGCACAGTTCAATCTTATTCTGTTCAGTCAGTCATTTACTTCACGGCATTGGAGGAATGATTATTGAAGTTGTGGTTAATAAATGATACCAATTTAGGTGTTTAGGGACTTGTGCATGAATCTGGAGTCTCTGGGATAGAGTATCCTACCCTAGCCCATGACTTTATCCCTTATATTAGGAAATGAAAATAAAAACTGATAGAGGTATTGATGTGGACCCGGAAATTTCACCATATGCATTATCTATATATTTTGCTTTCATCAGGAGTATTCATTATCCTAAAGGAATACAAAAGTGAACATGAAGAAATTGAAAGAAGTGCCAAGGTAAATGACTGTTAGATGCCAGTTAGGAGGGAAAAAGTGATCTTAGTTTTCATAGTATCTAAAAAGCTTTGGCGGCACAGCTTACATGTGGCACTTAGAGAGTAAACCCTTCACAGTGCAGTGTCTGGAAGTTATGGAATTTATGAAGGTAGCCAGAATATATAAATGGGAAGGCACCATGAGTGAGTTTCAGAATTAGGGACTGATCAAGGCTTAGAAACAAATGACTGTCAGAAGAAAATCTGACTTGCATTCCTTGAGTCTGATAGTCTCAACAATAGAAATCGACTAAAACTGGCATGCACTTTGAATTCTAAGAATTCAAAGTATGAAAATAGGAACACATAACTGAAGCAAACGCAGTGTCTTTTCTTTTTTTTGAGGAAGAGTAGCCCTGAGTTAACTGCTACGAATCCTGCTCTTTTTGCTGAGGAAGACTGGCCCTGAGCTAACATCCGTGCCCATCTTCCTCTACTTTATATGTGGGATGCCTACCACAGTATGGCCTTCGCCAAGCAGTGCCATGTCCGCACCTGGGATCCGAACCGGCGAACCCCGGGCCGCCGAGAAGCAGAATGTGTGAACTTTACCGCTGCGCCACCAGGCCGGCCCCATGCAGTGTCTTTTTATATACAGATGTACTTGGCTGCTTTCATCAACAGTAAAAGCATTTTGACTTTTGTTTCCCTAGTTAAAGTATATACTGAGTCTATACACTTTCTCATCTAAGTCTTTATGGGTATATTTGCAATGGAACAGATACCCCCCCATTGAACAAGCCATATCTCTTTGCAAACCTAAATACTCCATTGAGTAACTGCTCTTGTAAACCATCCTATATAAGCAATGAGGCTAATTGGTTCTCATTTATTTATATTTATAGGTAAATTTAGAGAAACCTCCTGAGTATTCATTTTTGTCTAACGCTTTGCTAGGGACATAAGGGAAGTAAATTAATGTCGCCTGTACTCAAAGAGTTAGCAATCTTATTGAGGATTTAAGATTTACATTCACTATTAAAATAGTGATTAATTTAAGTCAGTTTACTCCGGGCCAAAATGTATCTTACAGATACTAAGTCAAAGATTCGCAAATGTTAGTGCATATAAAAACTTGTAGGGAGACAACTATGCATGATGTCACATTTTGCCCCCACAGGGCAGGGAGTCGGCACTTTTGTCCTGCCCTCCAGATTATTAGGATGCAGTTGAACCAAGGAGCCTCCTGAACTGGGTGCATGGAAAGTCAGGAATTGTCAGGATAGATTTATAGAAAGCAGTGGATTTGAGATGACTCCACAAGGTCAATCTTCAAGGATGGGTGGGATTTAAACACAGAGAAGGGAAGCATCTTCTTGGAAGAGGGAAAGGCTGAAGAAAAGCACACATTTGGGAGTGAATGTGGCATAAGAGCAAGACAGGCAGAAAACAAGCCTGAGAGAAGCAAGTGGGAAGGCCACTTAAAAGCTCGTTTCCACTCCCCTCATGTTGATTTTCTACACAGTTTAAGCATCCTGGACAATCTAGGTTCTTAATGAAGGTAACCAGAATATGCAAAGAAGGAACCTTTTTACCCTTTATGCCTGAACCTGAGTTTCACATAGGTTATGTCTAATCATAAGGCTCAATGGACATAGAAAAGCCAGCCCTAAGCTATAGTCCCTGAGCCAACCAAACCACGTGTCTGTATACAAATGTGAGATTTGATGATTTAGTGCTTAGCGTCAGAGTAATAGTCATTATGGTAGACACATGGCATAGAATAAAAAAAAGCATTGCCTTAGGAGTCAGAAAGAACTGGATTTAAATCGTTGTTATACCACTTAGGACCTGGGACATTTTACTTGGCCTCTTTGAATTTTAGTTTCCAAATCTATAACAGAGCAATAATTATAACAGTGCATACATTACCAATACCTTGTATTGGGTTTTGAAGATTAAATGAGGTGGTGAGTAAATGCTCCCTGGCACTTAGTAGGTAACTGACTGAATGAAGAATATTTGCAATATTTTTATATTTATAAAGAACAAGTTTTAAAGGAACTAATCTGTGATTACACAATGGTGTGATTCATTTTAGGGTGGATAGATAAAACGTAGCACAATCATGATTAAGAGAGATTTCTGTTTTTCCGTACAAAGAAGAGGTGAAATCTGACAATAATGGAATGAGTTAACAATGTGATGTGATTTGAAGGACACCCTAAAATACATTTCCAAGGGGTCCAAAGTCTCTTGTTATGTTTTATTTCCTGGTGACTCTTGCCAAGGTATGCAGCTCATATCAGTCATTCATGTTTAGTGTGAATAATTTTGTCAGACCTTTTCTCTCTCTGACAGTGGAGAGAAAACTGCTGAAGAATAGAAGATTGACTGGACTTACAGAAAAAGTGGAACTGTTTTGTAAAAAGGGGCACCCACAGAAGACGAGCTGGCTAGAGCCCCAAGCCCTAACAGGAGGGCCCTGCAAACCTTCATTGGGCAAGAAGTGGGTACCGGAAGAGAGAAAATAAGGCACAGGAACGAGGCCCTGACAAACGTCAAGTGCTTTTTCCTTTAGCCCCTGTCCAGTTTGAGAGCCATCGTTCCCTGCGTGTCGAGGCCTTCATTTCCATTAAATGTCATACAAATGCCTTTTCATTTTTGGTGTCACCTCACAGAGTAAATCCTCTCAGATGGTGGGAAAGTGAGACTCAAATGGTCTCAGCAGGTGGCGTAGGGAAATCTGAGAACAGAAGTAATTTCTTCAAAAAATAGGAAAAAAAAGAAAGCATGCAATGAACTGCTATATAGAAATAAATAAGTATTGAAACTGCTTTAAGTAACTCAGCTCCTTTTATGTGTGATAAAATGACAAAAATCATTATTTATTATTGAGGCCTACTAATTATTGCTCACTATTACTATTACTTATAATTATCTTCTCTTTCTTTCATCTGAGAAATTCAAGATACAATACACCTTTCTGATTTGGAGACTATTTCTTCTGTTTATTATTCTGATTTTCTAGAATCACTATATGTGATATATCTTTAGAAATTTAGATTTTTAGAGAAAAAAATGATTTCTCATTTACATTAAAAACACAGCGAGTGTTGGATAAAGAATTAATTTCCTTGATGGGTATTAGAAATAAAGTCTAAATGCTAACAATAGATTATATGAAAGTAAAGTTATTTGTGCCCAGAGAAATTGACTATACATTTTACAGGGGAAAGTATTTTGTTTAGAGTTAGGCCTCGGTGCATAGTAGGTGCTTAGTTGAGGTTTTTGGATGATTAATTTACAACACAATGAAAACAAACTAAATAGTCCCTAGCCCAGAGGAGTTAGAACAGTTCCCATCTTCACACATGCATGTGCACACGCACACGCGCGCACACCCCCCTTAGACGGCCTTAATGACTCATCTTTATGAAGATTCCCTTGTAAATACCTAGTCAGTATCAGAACAATAGTATCAACTCAATCTGAAAAAAGTCTTAAAGGGGAGGGCTTATGTAAGACTTTATGTAACTTTCAATTTCCTATCAAAAAAGGCAAGAGGGACCAAGAAATACACAGAACTTTGCTTTCAAACAGTGAAGAAATCATTGTGCAATTGAGTGCAGTACTGGAGAGAAAACTGCTACTCAATTCAAAAGCAGTGTTACTTATCTTTTGAATGAGGGCAGAGGATTTCCGAACGGGAGCAGTCAGAGGCTCTTCACTGAGCCAAACTTCACATAGGCAGTCTAGAAGCCTGCCTCAATCTGTTATTTGACAAGCCCCCCAAAAAATCCCTCTGTACCAAAAACCTTCCCTTTCACACTGCCATACACTGAAATTGGAGTTACTAGTTTAATTCCAACGCTGAAAATTTGGCTTCCTTAGAAAGGACACCGGAGGCACCGGATAGAAAGTTGCTCAAGCTACCAAGCAAGTGTAGTAACTATTCCAGTTAGGGAGCCTGAAGTCAAAGGACATCAAATGAAGTAGAAAGGCCTCATTGTGGGCAAATTCAACCAACCTCAGCATTTTCCCTTCTCTTAAACTTGGGCAGTCTAAATTCCAGTTAATATGAACTAAGAACATAAGGAACGAACAGTTTCATCTTTCAAAAGCCGTGCAAGCAAATAGTCTTTGATTTCTGGAAAGCACTCTTGGGCTTATCTCTCCATGTTAATTGTGATAGTAAAACAATAAAGATGGAGATTTAATTTTAACTCATGTTGGTCAGTCTAGGGCAGTGAATGAGGATCATGAGCTGGAGAAATATTAATCCAGGTTGGTTATTTAACATCTGCCTTATTTTGAGAAGACTATTGAAGCCACCTGCTCAGGACAATGAAACTCTTCAGCTATATTTTGGTTTATCGCAAGTTTCTGCTCATAGCTTTCACTCTGTTGGTTTTACTGCCCCTGCCTATCATCCTCCGCACCAAGGTGAGTGAGCCTGGAGAACAGGCTGATGGATTTCCTAATGTACTTATCTTTTATTGCTGCTGTGTAATTGTGTGGCTCAGAGCTAAATAGGTGGTGATGCTTTGGGCTTGAAGTCAGGATGGTTAGACGTTGTGTTTGGTCCATTTTTCTCCTTTTTAATGGTTAGTGTTGGTTGATTCTCAGTATAATTAACTAAAATAATTAAATAGTATATGCAATCAGAATTGTTCTTTACCTGTCAACTAGATGAGAGGAAGGACAAAAGATGCACAACTGTTGAGATCTTGTCATTCAAGTTATCAATCCCTTCCCCTGAGACTACGTGACACTGGAGGAAAGAGCTAGAAGAACAATGGGGAGTTCCAGGGTTGAGCAGAGACTAATTTACTTGTCAGCTATACAACTTGGTATGGGTCACAGAACCTCCTGGAAATTTAGTTTCCTCATGGGATAAGAAGACATTGAAACAATAAAGTAATTTTCCTTGGTTAATCATAAAATCTAATAAGTTATTGTACCATGTTCTGATGATTCCAGATTTTATTTGTTTTTGGTGCACGTGTAAGCATTTTTCCGTTTGCTTTTAAGTGTAGTCAATCTATTAAGTCAGAATGATAGACTCAATGCGTTTTTAATCCCTTGGTAAATTGTTTAAATCAGCAAACATTTAGTGAGCACCATCTCTGTGCCAGGCATGGTGAGTGTCACTTGCTGGTAAGAGGACAAGCACCGGAGCCAGGCTCTCTGGTTTAGGTCCCAGACTTACCACTTACAATCTACGGGACCTGGGCAAGTCACTTACCCTTTCTGTACTTCTGTTTTCTGTTGTGTAAGATTGGGATAGTAACGGGCTTGTTGCGAGGATTAAGTGAGTAAGCGCCCCTCAGGCTCTGACTTGGAGCAGTGGCTGGCATATTGTAAGTGGGGCAGTGTGAGTTTCCCCAACTGTGTTGACTCTATAGCTGGTACAATTCTCCCCACCCCATGATACCTTGTCTCTGAATAGAAGAAAACTTTTCTGATTTTCTTCTCTAACAAGTATTAATCAAGGTTACACCATCTGGGTTGAAATAGAACCCCAGTAATTATGAAACGGTGGGTCCTCCAGCCTCCCTCAGAAGTCAGAACCTGATGTGGGAATCTCTGAGGCAAATGCAGGTGAGCTAATTTAAAGGCCTTTTTGACTCTGCTAAGGTCTCCTCTTCCTGCAAAGCTGATGAGGGGACTGGCCTCTGCTGCCCGCAGCTGTGGGTTGTATCCTGCCTGGGGCCACTACCCAGCTACAGCCTCCAGGGCTGCGCCTCTCCTTGCATTGAGGCCTCATTGAACTCCATGGAGGGAGGGAAGGCCTCCCCACCCCTTTTGATCAAACATTGTTCCGAGCCCCCAAAGTCTTGCAGAATTTCTAGTGAAAACAGCAGTCTGTTGTTTTGGGGTTGGTTGGTTTTGTTTTGCAAATTCTGTGTGACTAATCCTCCCCTCTCCTCTCTGCCTTTCCCACTCCAGCTACTTCTGAGCACTCCATTAGGAGTCTCTGGCAACCACTAGACGAGAAATTTGAGCCACAGACACAGGGTTCTAATCTGAATGCCCACCCCCAGCCCCCTTTGAAGACTTGTTGCTCCACCTAGCATGCATGATGACCTTCTCTTTCCAACTCCCCTTGTCCTTCAGGTCCCTTAGACTTAGCTGAATTGTACCATAAGCACTTCCTGGTTCATACCTGCACATCTGCCATGTTTCAATATTTCTGGGTTAGTCTCTGCATAAGTCCTTACTTACGTCAGCGTAAATAAGAAATTAGTCAAGACAAACTTAGGCCGTGATTGCATATCCTCTGTGCTGCTTCTTCAACATAAATGCATGGTACTCTGACTATCTTCTGTAATTTTCAGATAAACTGAATATAATAAACCCTTTGAAAGAGGAAACGAGTAAATAAATAAAAAGCAACGGGTTCACTGCATGATTCATTAACCAGAAGGTGTATTCTTGCTAAGAAATACAGTCATTAATTTTTTTCCAAGGTGCCACAACAAGGGTACATTAGGTCTATGGGGAAACCAGGGACTTGGCATCAGGTTGCATTTGATGGACTGTGTTCCTCTTTCCTTTCCCTGTAATCAATTCATTTGTTAAAACTCAATTAACGGTAATAGGAAGATTTTTTTCCTAGTACAATAACATGATTTCATTTTTTGGGTTACTTTAAATGCATATTCAATCATTCAATCAACAGCTAACTAAACTCAAAGAATATTATTTTAACTGCTCTTTACAATGACAGCAGAACTTTTTTTCATAGACTATGGGCCTTTGGAGGGCATAAAATTTGAGTAGAGGCTTACTTTGACATGGATGCAAATCAATTTATTGTAAGTTTCAGTTTACCAAACTGGAGAGCCCTATGCTTCTAAACACACAGTAATAGAATAACTAAAGAATTGAAGCAAAAGAAAAAGTCAATTTTGCTTTATAAAAACAGAATAAATCTATGTGATACAGAACCAGCAAACAATGAATTATTGACTGTTTTTTTTTTCATTTTTCGACTGGTTTTTGAGTTATTTCTATATACTTAACCCTTATACTTAAGACCTTATACTAAGGCCTTAATCCTTGGCTTAATTCTATCTTGAGTCAAAAATGTGGCATCAAAGATGAGAGACCTTAAGTGATTTTTCAATGTAATATTCAAGGGGAAGGAAAAGGAATTCACCTTGCAGAGGATGCTTCTGTTCCAGACATTCTGCCAGCTTCTTTACCCAAATTATCTTATTTAACCTTCATTACAAACTAATAAGACAATCACATAAGTGCTATCACTCTTGTTTTACGTTTGAGGAAACTGATTCTCAGAGACGTGTGACTCAAGAAAGGACATATAGAAGCTGTGGAAGCTAGATTTGAACTTGGGTTCTCTCAACTCAGAATTCATGCTTTAGCAGCAGTTTTGTTATCGTCTTTTCTATATTTTGTATTTTTGAAGATTTATCCTCTATTTTGAAGAGTTACATAAAGTGTGCCTTGGTAATCATTTATCAACATCTCAAGCAGTTTTCTCTGTGATAATGCTTTACATAGGTTAAACTATGGAAGAGGTGTACCTTAGCCCATTGCCTCAATTGACCTCATGCTACTCAATGCCTTTAAAGTAGAAAATTGCAGTTATTCTAACCACTGGAGATGGGCCTATGAGAACTGAATTAGCAATATTTTTTTATGTGTGTCATTTGCTGAATGTCCTAGAGTCCCAGTTGTACGGGCTGGTCATGTCAGCTTGTCAGGGTATGGTACCCATTCCCTTCATATCTGTACCCAAATGCTCACTATGAGTTGTGGCATCTTAATATCTTCTAGTTGAAAGAGACCTTAGGACTCTGTTTTTCAATGTTTTCATGGAAATTATATTTTATAATAAAGGAGAATATACCTCACCCCAGAAACTCATGAGCATAAGTCAAACAAAAGCTCAAATTTAGTCCTTATGAGTTAGGTATTATTTTTAGTCCAATTTTACTGATTAGAGATGGAGACAGAAACAAGTAGATAGCTTGCCAAAATGTGGCAATACAGATGTTTCCAATCAACATCTGTCTGACTCTAGAGCCAGTGATCTCAACCACAACTGAATATCTGTCTTTATAGCTTCCACAGTGGTAGTAAATATATTCCTAATACATTGACATAAATGCCACTTTGCCAGTGAAATCCTGTTTTCTTATTGACTTATACTGAATCATCAGAAATGTTGCCTTTTTAGTTGTCACATAGACATAAAGATAGTCTTAGTCCTTCCCCAGTTAGTAGTTAGTGATCAGTAAAACAACCCTGTAATGTAATTGCTATTTACATAAATATTTGAATGAAATTAATCATTGCACTGAATTTGTCTCATTTTGGAGAGGAAATGTCTTACATATTCCCAGATAAAAACTTGTTAAAATTGTCCCCGGCTACATGCCATAGTTCCGGGGATATTCTCTGTGCAACATTATTCTTTTATGACTATTTATAGCATCTTGTTAATTTTTTACTCTTCTCAATACTCTGTTCTATTTCCTTTCTTACTTTTCCAGTTCTTGGCTTTTCTTTGTATTTCCATTAATGAAACAAAAAGCTAAAAAGAAGGCCAAGTTTGTTTGAGGAGTAGTAAGAGGAGAAAATTGAACAGTAATATTTCCTGTTTATGAGTGCATTTCTTCGAGATATGTCTCCCTCCATCTAGTTTATCCATTAATTAGGACCACTTTTTGAGAAAAAGAGACAGAGAACCAGCCACACAGATATTGAGCAGTAGTTCCTAGTTGATTGATTGTAAAACCAAGACCAGATTTCAATTTTCTCTCAGCTACTTCTGGATTTCTCCGGAAAATATTTTACACCAAGAAAGATTTGAAAAGAGAAGAGACTGGGAATCAACACAGCAGAGCATCAGTGCACGAGAACAGCACGGATTATGGAGGGGGGAAATATGGCTTTCAGCGCCAGCTCTATTTCTGCAGCTGTCATGTGCTGCCCATGTCTCCTTCGCAATATATTCATTTTATACATCATGAATTTCAAAGTCAGGATAGAAATTTTAATAAATAAAAGAAATTATACATAATGAAAGACTTATGGTTCTAAATCTAAATAAACTAAATAGATGGAAGAAATACAATGTTTGAGAAGAAATGTAAATTTTAGACGAATAGAGGATTTACTGGAAGGACGAAAGGGGTAGGTTGGAAAGTCTGGAAAACAAAATTAAAATGAATGGGAGAGAATTTAAGAAGACTACAGTGAAAAAAAAAGAAGGGGAGATATTCCAAGAAAACATAAAGAATTTTCAAATAACTAAACATATTAATAGAAACAATTGACATTGTTTTAAATGTTGGTTTAAAATATTGTAGGGATTTAAGATAAGGGGGAAATGCTATAAACTCCAAGAAAGTGAACATTTTAGACAGAAAAGAGCATCAAAATGATGGAGGGCAAGAAAAATAAAAGAAAAA